CGCGTACCTTATCCATACCTCGCCATAAATCTCCGGGATCGCTTTGATTTATGCATCTTTTCGGCCTCGCGTCGCACTCGCTCAGGATTTCTTCTTTGAGGCTTCCTCCACTGCGACGCCGTCTCGTTTTCTCGTCCTGCGCGTCCCTTTGCCCCGAGGTGCGTCTTTGGCGAACGGTTTACCTTTGACCGTGGACCGTGTCGGGATTGAAAAAAGTCTCTCGTGGAACCGCGTCAGAGGGACGCGTGTCACCGCAAGACGTCCTTTCAAAGACGCCTGAGCGTCGACGCGGCTCGTTCCACGATCCTTTTCACGCGGTTTCCGGCCCTCCGGATCCTCGCGGAGAGCCTCGTTCGCTATGAGTTATGCTCCAACGGGCGTCGACAAATTGCCCGTTTCTCGCGACGATCGAGACTCGTCTCCTCTTACAGTTTTTTGCCGATCCAACGATTAAAAAGCGATCGTTTGAGAGTTCTACCTTTACGTTTACGTCCATATTTAATTTTGGTATCTTTACACGTTGGTTTACCCAAATTGGACCGAGAGAAACCGATGCGGTTGCTTTTCGGGGTTGGAATCAGTGTTTGAAGGAGTTTCGCGGCGAGACGTCCGCGCGAAGGCAGGCAAGAAAAAGAGGGACGGAATTTACATGCAAGAAGCGTAAATCATAACCCAAACAACGCGCTGCCAGCGTATTCCTGGCAGGGGCGAGGCCTTTAAAACTGATTCATTACCCCGACACGGGGATCCTCCTTCTTCCCCGTCCTTGCCGCGACCCCGTAACGCTCAAAGTATCCCGCGAAAATGTTCCTTAATGGGAAATTATAGCGCGCGGGAAAAAGGTGGATAGGGGAGTAAGAGGGCATATCATCGCGGAGATTCGCGTTCTCGTTGGAGGCGGTCACGTAGAAGGAAGCATGAATCCACGGCGGAGGCGAGGCTGGGAATAATAAGCGGTCGTTCCCGTGGCGATTCAGGGCTCCAATCGCGTTTTCGAACGCGATAATTTCCCGGGGCCCGACGGGCCAGCTTCGACGCGTCAATAAGCCATGCACGTTGTTGTACGACGATTAACGATCGATCGCTCGTATCGCGCGTGACCGTGTTCCGGTATTAAGGCTCGCTAGGCGTGTACGATTCAGCTTCGAGATGAATTACGATGGTCCCGGCCACGTGGCGATTAATAATCGAAAAGGCGTGCGCGCGTGTTTCCGTTCTCCACGAATGGTCTCTCCACGGGGCCCGTCTCGATGCCGAAAATTGCAAATAAACGCTTTCAGAACTTTCAGAAAATGCCTTTGAGTCTTTCCATACTCGTTCAAACTCTTTATGAAACTGTGTCTTTCGAATTGGCGTGCTCCAAAGGTCTCTTATTTTTCCCGAATTTTCCTTTCAAAGAATTCGAGAGGAAAAGGGACATCGAATGATCGAGCACTAGCGAGAGAGACAAGTCGATCGTCTCCCTCTGTTGGCGAGCGCGGGAAGCGTCGCTACAGCGTATCAAGGAAGTTTTGTGGAGTTAACTGGACGCGAATTCCAGGCCTCGAACGTGTTAATGCGTCGCAAGTCGTGGGAGTTGGCCGCGACCGACGTTACGGAACTTAATTGAATCGTTCGCCAAGAGTCGAGCAACGATACTTGCCCGAGCTCACAATGCGTTTAATGTTAAACGATGACATAGAATGATAAGAGGAGTACTTGCCGAGGTTTCGAGTCAAACGATATAAAGATACACACACCTGGTTTGCTATCCCCGCGCGAGAATAGATTGTCCGGTGTACCCAAATAGCTGTACGGTGGATTGGCATTTTCGAAGCAGCGATTCTTAACCTCGAGCCCACGGAACGGTTAAAAGAAGAAAATATTCCACTATTTTTCTATTAAACTTAACATTTATATTTGATTCGAAACGTTTCGACTCTAGTTCGAGTCATCTTTTCGAACTTTTTCAAACTATTAAATACGCTATCCGAAATGGTTATGGAGACAAGATTTTGACATCTAAATTTTAAAACACGAAGAAGGGCAGTAACGGTCTTCGCAGTGGTCAAGAATCTCTGCTCTGCGGTGTATTTTGTCCGTCATAGTAAACGTAGTCATAGTTGCAAATTGCTATCCTATTTCGCGGTAGCAACTTTGCCCGAAGTGTTCCGAAAATAGAAGCCGGTTGAACTTCTAATCGCGTCGGGAGCACTGTCTGTTACACCAGCCCCGCTGACGAGCTTAACCAGCAGATCCGAGATGACACGTGAAAGGATTTGTCATCTTATCCGTTTAGAATGTTTTAGAAATACATGCTCGAACCCAACTACTCTCATCGTTCGTTTCTAATAAAAAGAAAATCACTTGTAACTTTAATTTTAACAAGCATTTTACTAAAAACGAATTTGCCAATTAAAGACGGTATTCGAACGATTTTTTAAACACGACGAAAGAGCTATTGAGTACAGTAGCGTCGTTCTTGCCTATCCTAAATTTTGACCACCCACTTTCGAAGTACATATCTTGTACGTTCCCACGAGACAAACGATCCCCGGTATCCGAAATCGCTGAAATATTTCTCGATTATTATTCCGAAGTAGCAACGCGTTTCTAATGCGTCGAAATCTCATCCTGATTCGTTATGCATTATTCATGGTCCCTCTAATCTAACCTAACAATTTCCGTACCCTAACGAAGAAACTTGAGAGGGGGGGAGAGGTTTGGGCATTGTCACCACTCGGAGCACCCTTTGGTCTGGGACAAGCAATGGCCGTCGACACGGAAGAGAGAAATAGTGGATCCATTAGCCGCGCGTCGATTAACCCGAAGGTGCACCTTTGCAGACTCACGCGTTCTACGAGTCTCCCGTAAATCCAGGGGTTGTCCGTTGGCTGGGGACCCGGTGGCATGAGTCACGTGTTTTCGAATACCAGGGAGAAGTTACCGGAGGGGTAGTCACCCCCCCATGGATGGATCCTGCGAACCCCAGGCGAGGCGCGCCGGTGACAGCCAGTCATATCGCTGGAGATCGATTAAAGCCCGGGTATATACGGCAAAGTCCTCGACTTATGCGATTAAATCGTTCCGAAGCTTTCCCGCGTAGATCGAATCGTATAAATAAGAGCAAAACCCTGACTCGTGTATTCTAAAATTTCACCCGTTCGAATTAAACTTTGGAAGATTCAAAGTCTACCCTCTGCTAGCATCGCGTACAAGAAACCCTTAAACACTGCTCGAAGGTCCGTCAGGTAGCCTCACCGGGTCCTCTGGCGACCCTAGAACGAAAGGTTTACCTTCCTCCTTTCTCTCCAGGTGTCTCGAAACCATTGTCAAGACACCGACGTTTCTCGAGACGTTCCAACGGATGTAATTATCGTCGGTTGTTCCCATAAAAAATCCAGAGATCGTAGGATGTTCGCGGCGAGTCCCGGGACGCGTCCGTCCGTCAGATCCTTTCCTCGCGCGCGTCAATCTCTGGTCGCCACACACGTAGCCTGAGCTTGTTCCTCCGCGCTGAGATGCAACGCTGGCTGTCGTCTTATAAATAGCCACGGAGCGCGTGTCGGGGTGCTAGCAGTTAACAAACGGTAAAACTAACACCGCCTCCTACAATAACATTTCGCTCCGGTCACGTGTTTTCCGCGGCCCGACTATTATAAGATCCGTGGCTGTCGTCTCGCGTTGCTCTTGGTCCTCTCCTCGTTCTTCCTCCCCCGTTACTCGTCTCCGCCGTCCGTCTGGCTTACCCTTTCACCCCTGCGGCCGATTCCCGGCCCGATCCCGATCGATCCTCCCGAGATCTAGCCGGGGATCTAGGCACGGACGTTGATTTATGCGCCCAGCCACCTGAACCCCCGTTTGCCCTTGTTCGTTAAGGTCGCAGACGGTCGTGAGTCCGTCGGGCCACGAATAAACCAGCGAATCTCGAGGTTCTGTCGGCGGGTGGGTTATGCAAATACACACCCAGGTCCCGCGATCGGTCTAGAATCGTGTTTCGGGGTTATATAATGTTATGCTAGTTCGGCGGGTCGTTTTCTTTTTCTCTCTCGAGGATCGACGGAGCTTAATTAGGACCACCGTAAGGGGCCTCGAGATTGAACACGTTTTTGCCATGCCTCGGATGGCAGCGTACGGAGAAATGACTATATTTAAGGGGGGATGGCTGATGATGCTCCGAGATAGATGACACGCAGGGGAGAGAAATTCTGGTTTTTGTCGGCCGTTTCTTTCCACGGTTTTTGTGTCGCCGCGGTGGCTCGGGGGAAGCGCGAAGGACGTCGTACGCGTACGATGCTTGAGTGATTTCGTGGCGCGATATATTTATAACGCGATTTTTCGGCGGGGTCTTCGAAACGCCTTAATCTAATCGTGCGACTTGTCCGTTTCGTCGCGTCGCTCCGTCGTCCGGCCGCCGCTTTATCGAATCAGAACGATGTCGCCGGTTTATCGGCACGGAGTATTTTTGAATACGCGCGGAGGAATGTCTGACTCAGATGAGGAACGCGCGAACTCGACTCGAAGCGTGGTTGGAAAGAGGTTGCGGACGATAAGAGTGCAACAATATCTGTCCATTAACCGATTCGATACGCGTACATAGTATGGAGCGGGTACGTGTCATAGTTGGCCAAAGAAGATTGCGAATCGACCATACATATTTACGAGGCACTCGCTGAGACTTGCACCGATATCGCGCATCTTTAATTACGTGTCTCGACATAATACTGTCGGTGGAAGCTCTTCGTTAGCCGCGTAGATCGGGTCAATTTTAGCTTCAGAAATATGGAATTATTGTTTAGGTTAATATGTTAGGGAAATCGTTTACCGTATTTGATACATTATCAAAGAATCAAATGTTCATAGTGGTATAGAATCTGATTTACAAATTTTTTTGTCTCTTATAACCCCAGTACAGTAACGATTCTTGAAACGAACCCCATGATTCCTAAATACCAGTTACATTCCTGAAAAGCATTGCATCAAGGGTAAAATAAACTGAAGAAAGTGTTTGATTGTTGCAGGCCGGAGTAATGCGAGGCAGGCAGGAGTAAGCGAAGGATCTATCAGAATGGGACTCGTTCGACGGACGAAGCTGCTTCCAAGCCGAACGATGGCGACCCTGTTGCCGTTGCTGGTGCTCGCAGCATTACCGAACGCCCGATTAGAATCAGCAATCAATCCGGCGAGCAGCGTGGGCTCGATATCGAGCGGCGCATCGTCGGCCTCTTCTTCCGCCTCCTCTTCGTCGATGGTGGGCGTCGTGTCTGGCAGCGGATCGGGATCCGGGGGCATGGTAGGATCGGAGGGGGGTGCTGTCGCGGGCGGCGGTGGCGGCGGCGGTGGGGGTGGTGGACACTCGTCGCTGAGCGGAGGAGCGGCTAATGGAAACGGCAGATGCGAGGAGATCACGATCCCGATGTGTCGCGGTATCGGTTACAACCTGACGGCGATGCCGAATGAACTGAATCACGATACGCAGGAGGAGGCAGGCATGGAGGTGCACCAGTTCTGGCCGTTGGTGGAGATCAAGTGCTCGCCGGATCTCAAATTCTTCCTGTGCTCGATGTACACGCCGATCTGCCTGCCGGAGTACACGAAGCCATTGCCAGCCTGCAGGAGCGTCTGCGAGCGAGCACGAGCGGGGTGCGCGCCGTTGATGCAACAGTACGGGTTCTCGTGGCCGGAGAGGATGGCCTGCGAGCGACTGCCGACCCACGGCGACCCGGACAACCTATGCATGGAGCAGGACAACAGGACGAGCAGCACCGGTCCAGGATCGGGCAACGGCGGAGCGGCGAGCAGCGCGCCATTGCCACCGGCAGCACCACCCAGGCCCACCAGGCCGACCAAGACGACCCAGCCACCGCGGTGCAAGCCAGGAAAGAATCAAAAAAACTGCCAGCATCCCCCGGGGGAAAGGGCGAGGGAGTGCGCGTGCCGGTGCAGGGCACCCCTCGTACCCCTGGGGGCGGGGGGCACGGTAATACCGGGCCCGATAAGCGTCAGCAGCGCCGGCAACATCGCCAACGGGGCTGGACTGGCAGGCATGGCCATAAGTGGAGCCATTCCGGCACCGCCGATAAGCATCGCGCGGAACATCATTCAGGACATTGCCGGAGTACCGAACTGCGCGCTCCCGTGCTACGGGGCGTTTCTCACCCCCGAAGAGCGAGGGTTCGCGGCCGTATGGCTGGCTCTGTGGAGCGGCCTGTGCGCCGCAAGCACGCTCGTGACCGTCACCACGTTCCTGATCGACACCCAGCGCTTCAAGTATCCTGAGAGACCGATAGTCTTCCTCTCGGCCTGCTATTTCGTGGTATCGGTCGGCTACCTATCGAGGAGCGTCTTCGGCCACGAGGAGATCGCCTGCGACGGTCCAGCGTTGAAGTCCGGGGCTCAGGGACCGGGGGCCTGCGTGACTGTTTTCCTCATGATCTACTTCTTCGGCATGGCGTCCTCCGTCTGGTGGGTGATCCTCGCGTTCACGTGGTTCCTCGCGGCGGGCCTCAAGTGGGGCAACGAGGCGATCGCCTCCTACTCGCAGTACTTCCACCTAGCAGCCTGGTTAGCGCCCACGGTACAGACGGTCTCGGCGTACGTGGCCGGCGGGGTAGCCGGGGATCCAGTGGCGGGAGTCTGCACGGTAGCACCAGACGGAATTCGTTCGTTCATCCTGGTGCCCCTGTTCGTGTACCTCTTGCTGGGAACGAGCTTCCTCCTCGCGGGTTTCGTGAGCCTGTTCCGAATCCGATCGGTGATAAAACGGCAACCGGGCGCCAAGGCGGACAAGCTGGAGAAGCTGATGATACGCATCGGCGTGTTCAGCGTGCTGTATACTCTACCGGCGGGGGTGGTGTTGGCCTGCCACATGTACGAGACCGCCCTAAGAGGCGAGTGGCTCGCTTCGCTGGCCTGTCCGTGTCGGACGAGAGCAAGACCTCTCTACTCCGTCCTGATGCTCAAGTACTTCATGGCGCTCGCGGTAGGCATCACGTCAGGCGTGTGGATCTGGAGCGGCAAAACCGTCGACTCGTGGAAACGTCTATGGAGGCGTTTGTTCGGAGGAGGGAGCGGAGGCGGCGGTCACGGAGGCGGTGGAGGCGGTATGGTAGCAGGCGTGACAGGCGTCAGCGGAGGCATCGGCAGCAGCAGCATCAAGGGCGTCGTAGGACGTGTCGGAGTCCCGTATCCTCCGGCACCGGGACCCGGGAGCGCCCTGCTGCCCCCGGGCAGCGTAGCGAGCGCCTCCCAGCATCATCTCCATCACCACGTTCTCAAGCAACCCCCTCTCTCGCACGTATGACGTCACCAGTCGGCGGGGGGCGACATGAACACCGCTGGCTGCGATCAGCAGCAACAACAACAGCAGTCGGTGCAGCAACAGGAGAGGCCTTCCGCCCTTAGCAACTACGGGCCCATTTAGCCCTTCGCCTCGGCCTCGCGCAGGCACACGCCGCATACAGCGCCGCACACGGCGCCACACACGCCGCACTCGGCGGCTACCATTTACTCGAGGAGGTCGCTGGCGTCGACCACTGGTCCCCTCACGCCGGCCCATGGACTCGCGCCATCTTACACGCAGGCAACCGAGGTCTGAATCGATTTCCGACAGCGGGTACGTCAACGAGCGAACAAGGCCCCGGAGGAGCCGCGGCGCTCCGCGACGCCTCGAACGGCGTCGATGACTCGCGACGGTGCTTCTCGATTACCCGATATACGTATTAGCCCGTACGTGTCTTTGCCGGGAGTCTCGAGCCGCCTTCTTCTCTCTCGCCTGTGCGCGGCGTGCATTAGCGTGAGAGTCGCGGACGGTTTACCGATCTTGCAATATTTTTTTTTCTTTTTTTTTTTTTTGTCATTTGCCATTCCTCGTACATTTACCGGTGAAATTTCATCGCAGCGACGGCAATGGACCCTCGGAAAAGCGTCGACGCCAGAGGGCGGTGGATGGTCTCAATATGGCTGTCGAGACTGCTCGGTTAGTGAGATTGTGATTTTTAGTGCATCGATTGAAAGTGACGAGGAGCGAATGGTGTGCGCGAATGGACGTGTGACAGGTACTCTTTTACACGTATCTATCTCTACTCTTTCTTACTTATATACCGTAGCGGAGCTCGTACAGTCCGCATGTCCGTCTAACGTGTATCGTCTCGTCTATTTATCTAACCTAGGCCATAACTGAATATAGGGTGTAAAACACGGTTTTCTTCTGGTTCGTACCCGAAGGGCGGCGGTGGTCCGGCATTCCAACGCGTGTTTTTTATAATTTCATACTGTCGCTAGTCGTAACGATCGATCAAGCTCGACTTTTTACGGGGAAAAAAACGAAGAAAGTATATACTCGTAACGAATACAGGCTCACCGCCGTCGATCGTCGACAAGCACGACGAGCGAGTGTATAGCGCAGATGTTAAGAGATAGGAGAACGAGGCGACGTAATTGTAAATATTACTCTTAGGTGTTACGTAAAGCGCTGTAAATAAAACAAAATAGAGGGGGGAGAAAAATTAAACGATCGTCGAAACGATTGTATCGATCGACGCGAGCTGTAGATCCGCGGAAGTCGCGCAGACGCGTGGATGTCACTGTCGCCGATGAACGCCGCGTTCCTTTCGCTTGGTCTATCGTATAGTTCGTGGAGCCTCGAATTCGTCTCGAATCTTTCGAAAATCGCCGACTGTCCCTCGAGATACGTCAATGGCACGAAAAAGACAGACAATTCGCTCGTTCGCGCAACGAGAATCCGACGGATGCCCAGTTAGCGATCGGAATACCTCGAAGAGAAGCTTCGAAGGTGCCGCTAGTCTTGCCACGGACGAAGGAACGCGTCGATGATCTGTATATCATAATCACATAAAACGTAATCTCAAATAATTATTACCAGAGAAGCGAATCGGCATGGTGCGATTTAGTTTCGATGATTACATGTTCCGCCACTGTTATATAGTTTTAAATAAATTCTAAGTAAATGGATGGTGATTTTTTTTTTTAAATATTTATTTTCGTGCATTATCTTGGTAAACAATCAAAAATGAAACTGTCGAGGTTTCGATCGTTAACACGTAAGTACATTTTCTTTTATAGAGGTTTAAATTGTGTTTGAAGAATAGTTTAATTCTACTTTAAGGAGGTGGGACGGTGAAACTTGAAAAAACAACGATAGAACGTATTAAAATGATACTTACTCGGGACTAGGTTTCAAATGATCGTGATATACGGACCATTTAGAACGATACGCGCGGGTCGGCGACGACGTGATTTCGCGCGTCGAAAAATTTTTTAACGCCGAACGAAGTCCCTTTCCCCCATGCTCCTTGTCCGTTTTATATATTACGTACTCGTATATATACGCGTCTCGAACGTAGCAGGCAAAAATGTATAGTGACAACATCAGAGACACCTGGTTTTTGTACCTCGCACGGCTTCCGGTCCCGCCGAGGGACGCGGACCGTGCACACGCACACGGGACACGATCCCGCCACACACGTACAGCCGTACACACGCGCACGCCGTAGAAGAAAGATACGAAAACAGTTCTGTGTACCCCCCGAAGTAGATATATATATATATAGAGAGAGAGAGAGAGAAAGAGAGAGAGAAAGAGAGAAAAAAATGAAAGATAAAGCAAATTTGTACACGCTCACGGTGTGTCTATGTCCGCGCAATCTAGAAGTAGCTGTTGACACAGTGCGAAATCGGATGCACGCATAAACGAGCAGATCGTAAAGTACGTAAATATATACGTGTATATAGGAAGACATGTGTATAAGTATATATTTAGGTACGCGTATATATATAAATATTACAGATACATATAAATATATAAATATAAATATATATATATGTCGAAGAAACGCGCGCTGTTCACCAACGGTATCGATATCTCACAGTTTTTATACTCACTTGAAAGAGAGCAGAGGGAGGATAGACAATTCCCGGGGTAAACGTCTCTCGTCGGTGCTTCTCGTTCGGGAACATCTCGCGAGCCAATCGCGTGTCTCGAGGTTCAGATTTGAGCAGACCCGTGACAAGATTTGGGGGCGTAAAGGGGCACGTGCCTCGGGCTGCCGGGTTATTCGATTAATTGTTTTAACGTTTCCCATGATCGATCGTTTGAAAATGGTTTTACTTTGACTTTGTCTCCAAAAGTTCTTCCAACGATGCAAAATACTCGCGTAAAAGATAGTAGTGTGTGTTTATCGTGAAACAAATAAGCCCAAAGGGCCTCCCATGTGTCGTTGATGCCCCTGGCACTGAAATATTCGAGCACAGCCCTGGAAACCGGCGAAGAACGACGCGAAACAGTCCCGTGTACACTTCTTCTCGTAATTGTTTTCCTTTTTTCCGTGTTGGGGGACGGGGGGTGGCGTTCCATGGTTGAAATTTCAACGTGCCACGCGATCGTCCCGCGAGATGTCTCTCGTGGAGGAGAGCCAGGTGGGAACGGGCACGCAGGGAGCAAAACGGAACAGGCGACAGGACTGAAAAACGATAACTGCCTCAAGCGAACTTAAAACGAAAACGAAATAATAAAAAAAAAAAAAAATAAAAAAAAAAAAAGAGAACTCGACCCGTATCGCATCCCGGACGGGGACCACTGCCAAACGAAACGTACACGTGTAATGTTGTAAAGTAGCGAGAGTAAAGAAACCTTTTAGTGTCACATATCACGCCAAGCCGTTACGAGCGAAAACGGACAACGTCGCGTTCGTGGATGGACGATTGACGTCGAGGAGAGAAAGGAAAAAAAGAAAGAACGAACATGGTCGGGGAAACGAGTCGACGGTGCGCGACGCCGTCGGCGACGCCAGGACGCGAACGAACGCGACGCTAGAGAAACGAGAGGGAGGAGTTTATAACGAGTATTTGTAAGCCACTTTTTGTCACGATGATTGTCAATAAAATTGAAAATACTGTGTGTATAACGAGTGTGTTCCGGGATTTCCTCCACGTTGGCTCTTTTCGAGACGTTTTCTTTTCCGTTGGAACAACCGATAAGGGGAGCGCTTATTGGACGGAGTCGAACGAACACGACGCGTCTTCCTCCATTTTTTCTTTTTGTACGTTTTCCTCGTTTGGCTTTTACGTTCTTTCCCCCGCCCCTTGAAACGCGCGAATCCTGTTCGAGGTCCGTACTCGACACCGTCTTTGTACAACTTTTACGTTGCCATAGTAGTTAACGAATGACCGACGACCATATCGTTATATAAATATATATATACTGAAATCAAAATTGTATACGATTTTTAATATACTTTATTATTATTTAAGTTCCTTGCGTTTGTTCTTGGTACCTCAGAAGCTGTCCCCGATCCTTGCAGTTATAAGTTTCCGGTCGCCATTTTCTTACTGGTTTTTCGTGGGCCCGTAGAGTCTGTGGCGCGAAATTTGAATCCGAGACGCGTAAAGTGTGGAGCAAGGTAAGTCGTGGAACTGAATTTTATTCTTACGTGGTATTTTCGTCCTTTACAACGTACAGGGTGTCCATAAAAGGGGCAAAGACGTTCTCAATTGGACCTATTGAAAATATTTATGTTTTGATCTGTGGAATATGAGAGGAATAATTATTCATCGTCGAGTTGCCTTAAGTAAATACTTCCTGCTTTAAATCACGACTGACTATAAACAGAAGTCCCGGAGACCCCACACTTCAGTTTGTATAAAGCAAAAAAGGGTCCCTTCTGTTTAAGAGGCTCGAACAAGTGGCCACATTCTTCTGTCTGGGAGTGAAGCGAAGTAGCCCGACGCGAAGTCGAAACTATGAAAGGAATTCAAACACGAGTCGTACTTTTAAACAAGTTATGACATCGGCGACTCTTCAGCGTCGTTAGAGTTAATTAATCGTTTCGATCCAACATCCTCCAACGAAAATACGAATTTCATTAATCGACAATGCAATCTTTATTGGGAATATTCGTGTAAAGAAAAAACTGATAGCTTCCAAAATGATAATTTATCTTATATTTAGTGGGAGATTGTTCTTTGATTTCGTTTTTCCTGATAACATTGAAACTTTGACCGCGTTTCGGGAGATCTGCTCGACGGCGCAAGGAACCGGAAGCAGCCCTCCGAATTCTATTTCGACGAAAAATGCGCCACAAACTAAAGTCCGACTCTAGCAGCCCGTATCCAAGGAAACGCGCAGCTAAGAATACTCCGAACCTCAAAGGGTTGATACCGAAATTTCGCGTTTTCAGCGTTGAAGGCTGTTCTTCGCTCGCGGCGGATCCATTAGAGAAGATAAATCCGTCTTTAAGACGCATCGGCCGGAGGGTGGCAGAAAAGTTGTCGGGGAACGGGGCTGGATTGTTTATAACGCCACTCTCTCTCCCCCATCCTCTCTTCCTCCCTTTCTGTTTGTACTATGAACAGAAGCAGCCAGATAAAACCACGAATAATCTCGACATATACAGCGGAGCAGTGGTCTCCAAACGTTCCACGCTCCCCTAAAAGAAATAATTCTCCGCGAGATAAGTGGCGGGTTTACAAGAAAAATATATATCAAAGATCGTTAACTCGCGGACCGTTAATATATTAATATAAAAATTTTTCGTGGCCCCCCGACTCGATGTCTATTTTTACTTTGTTTATTTCAATTTTGCGTCTGCTTTTCGAGAGTCGATCTCCGTCCCTCGAGAGATTTTCGTCTCGTAGAATATGATAAACGAACTCTGTCCATCTCCGTCCTCCTTTCTCGGCAGTCTGAGAATTAATGTAAACGCAGACGGGCGCTTTCGCCCGGTGGACGTCGGTATTTACACGACGTTACGAATCGCCCGGTGAAAATCGCCGTTTAACCGGGCACCTAAGTAAACCTACCCCTGCGTGCCGTGAGTCATTGCCGGCGGCACAGTCAGCGCCGTGGGGGCAAACACCACCGCCCCAACCCCCCCTCCTCTTCAGGAGCCAGCGACGAATTTATGGTTCGTCGCTGCACCTCGAGCATCGTCGCCATAAACAAACGATATTAACCCAGCGGACGTTTACGGCCCTCGGTGGCTGCCCCGGAAGATAAGGATCTCCGTTAGTCATTCACTCGTTAAGTTAACTGGCCGCGTGCGACGCGTTGATTTCCTTAATTGCAGCTGCCCCGATGCGACCACCGCGGCGGTGGATCGTCGAGCGACGCCATCTTGCTTGATTCGCGTGCCCCTTACATCGACTGCTCAATACGAGTGTCCTTCGGATTAATTAGGCGCGTGACACGCTCCTGGTGGTCGAGTCAAAAGGGTAACGACGATTCCACGAGGGTGACTCAATAATCGGAATATAATAATATTCCTATAAATTTTATTCGAGAAAATTCGAGTCATCCACGCTGAATTATTATGGATCGGTGATTTTTAATCCTTTGCAAAACATGATTGCGTGGAACTAGGGGTCTAGAATCTTCGTTGTTCGATCAGGTAGGAGTACTAATAAATGGCCATTTTCCAAATGGAATTGTATTGTTATCCAGGGTATAGTAGCGTGGATAATCGTAGGGAGCTTTAGTTGAGGGATTAAGAGGATCGGTTACCTACTCGTTTATTGCCCCGAAAAGTATAATTTCGACCATAGACATCGCCCACGGGAAATTTCGTTTACTCCACGAGGTCCCTTTTCTTCGTGAAATTTGAATTCGACGACCAATCACAGGCAGGAATAATTCACGTTCGATCGAGGCCCGTGTTGTTCCTTGGAACCGATGTTAGTCTCCTTCGAGCCTCGAGCATCGACGGATGTATTTTGCTAGCGAAAAATAAACACTCGATAATCTTGACTGAAAGTGTTTACGCGTTGTAAGTTGTAAGTGCTCGACATGTCTCGAAGAGGAAGCGTTTCCAGAGTTTCGACCATACTTTTCGTCCTGGAAGTGAGTAACGAACGCGTCCTGTTTAACAAAAGAATTCAGTCTCTACATACACACGTGCGCCATAGTATTCGAACGCATCCAGTTGCAATTTTTAACAAGTAATTCGGTACATATCGCAACGTTACGTTTTACCGTCCTTGTCTTTTGAATAATCATGGTCGTCGATCTGGTCCAGGGTCGTCGTAAATAGACCATCGTTATTTACCGAGAGACTGCGTTCGAGAAGGATTTACGAGCCGATTTGTCGAAAGGTCTCACCGTATCGGCAGCCATGTTGGCTTCCAAACGAGCCGTGATCGACGACGACTAATTGCGCCTAAGAAAACTAATTTACGGGGGCGGGAACGGATCCCAGACTTTCGCCCTCTGTTTGTCGAGCGGGAAGAACGTTTTCCAGGCGGCGGAGGAAAGGACCTCGGGAGTTTTCGGCGTATCCCTTCGTGGCTAACATTAGATCGTATCGAGCGTGCACGCGTGCCATCGTTTCCCGTTTTCTCTCGGGTACGCGTTCACGGACGGTCGTTTTCACTAAATCTGGTCCGTCGTAACAATCGTGACGTCGAACGCTGAAAAAATACTGCGCTCGCCACCCCCGTTTGGCCGAATTCCTGTTTCTTTATCTACTTTATCGGATATAAACGTTATTTTACGGTCACCGTGTGTGTTTCGAGAACATAAACCGGAACGAAATAGCCCGAGATATAACCGAATCGAATTTCAGACTAAGAATTAAATAGGAGCAATTTGTTACAAAGTTATTAATTGTTTAGAAGTTGAAATTGAACGTGGTACGAAAGATCGATCATGTTCGTATCTGCGTAATTGCACGATGTTTACTGCCTCGACCCGATCGGGTACGTCTGATAATTAATATCAGTAATGGCGATGTCATAATAAACGATTACTAACCGTGCTTCGTTCCTCGTTTCAAAATATCGGCCCTCGTACAAGCTTGACATCGACGCGGTATATAATTTAATACTCTATTTTAGTGCTCTCGTCCGTTTCGTACGAGAATCAGATTAACGTTAACCGGAAATTAGAATACGATGCACCAGATAGTTTACGACTTCTCGTTTTATCTGTTAGATCCCTCAACATTTCCCTCGAGTGTTTGAAATGGCATTTCTGTAGTACCTAAAACCATCTACGTTCTGGAGTTTAAAATTCCAACGACAATCGTATCGATAGAAACGTATTCCATCCACGTTGGAGATTTTCTTTCCGTCAGAACGCAGAGCGTATCAAACACAGAATTCCGCGTCCCTTGTTTTCGTGTCGAGCGTTCCTCGATTGTCACTGGTTATTTTTCCGCCGTCTCCGATGCACAGTTTTCTCGGAACGAAGATAGAGACGTGGAATCAGCCCGATGCCCGATTACGCGTTATCGCGAGACGCTCGTTATATTCGCGCGTGTAAGCAATTTATGCGTACGAACGTTGCCACATGACCATCCCTTATCGTCGATGTCAAGGGTCGGAGTCGACGTTTGGGATCGCTCCTCGCGTCCGTCCCGGAGGGGAGATTAATCGTTTCTGCGACGATAATCTATTGCTATATAAATTAACAGAGTCGCATATTAAGATACGAGCCAGTAAATTGAATTTTCTTTTCGTCGAGGCTCTCTCGTCCGTACGCTCGTTCACCGACGTCTATTTATGGATCGAACTTTCGACGCGAATCGCACTTCCGAACTCCCGTTCGCACACAGACACTCCTCGGTGTCCCACGCGATTTAATTCCAATAATAGATAACCGATAAAACCAACTTGGAGCAATTTATTTGCCCAACAAACATTTATCGAACGACGTACTGTCCTCGTTGCGCGACATTTTTATTTTATTCGTCGGTCGTTTGCGAACGATGCTTTGAAATTTTTTTGTTAACGGCGGGAGCAATAAATATCCCTTGGAAACCGTTCACCGTCGATAAAACGAATCGTTCCCGTAAACCATAAACGTCAACGACGGTTCACCCTAAAACGACGCCAGGTCGGATTTACCCGGCAGGGGTCGTCGGACAGTCGATAGTCGTCGACTGTACTCGAACGCATCGGTTTGCATGCCAAGCTCGTCTCGAAGAGCCACGGCATAATGCGACCGCCGCGTATTGCCAGAGGAAGGGCTTTTCGAAGGCCCTCGATTCCATTCAAATTAGATTCCCTTGTACCGTTAATCCTCCTTTGCAATGCCAACAGCTGCGGGAGACGTCGGTTCGCAGCTGATCATTAATTATTTGCGTCTCCGGATTAACGGGTTAAACGAACGCGTACGCGCCCGCGCGGCCCTGCTTGACCTCGCCTCCGCGACTAGTCATCCGTCATTCCCGTGTCA